CGCAGGTCTCCTGCACATCCTGGCTGATTGCAAGGACCATTGCGTTTGCCTCAATGCGCTGGCGACACTCGCCGATGCCGATAGGACGGTCACAGGGTTGCTTGTCCAGGGCAATACCACGGCGTGCGAGAAAGGCTCTGATGTCAGACCACGGCACAACTTCGTTGGCGTGCCTCCGAGTTGAAGCGGCAACTGCTTCTCGCAGACGAGTGCTGGCATTTCCAAAGCGCAACAGGAAAGCATGTCAGTGATCAGAATCGGTCCCACATGGTCCTGCACTGCCGAAGAGCCGTTTGGCAACATGTTCAAAGTGAGCTCCCGTGATATCTACCCTTTCCAATATACGTATGTACGTGGTACATGTATATGCAAGCCTTGCTTGACATGTCCGTGGTACATCACACACACGCACGCACGCACGCACGCACGCGCACACACACACACACAATAAAAAAGCGGTCTACCCCTCCAGGGCAGCCTTTCAGCTGTGAGAGAAATACGCCTCCATGGAAGTCTGTGCCGGTGTACCCTTGGGCAGGCGGAGACAGTACGAAAACAGCCTCCACCTTGCGGTAAAAATAACCATGTCAGTTGGTGCTGGTGTGCCGGTGCATTTGTGAAGGCTCTTATTGCTTATTCGATTTGGATATTGGATTCTAAAGAGCGACCTTAATGGTTTCCGGTGAAACGCCTCCACCCGTATCAACTGCTGTTAGGTCAATGCCCATGTGTCGCATTTGTAGCCAATGATGGGCAGAATGAAAGTGTTATACAGTTGAATCTGCAGTGATTCAGTTACCATTGTTTGGAGGATCCACAGCAACCAGAGGGTTAAGAATGCAGCTGAGGCTAATTGAATCTGCTATGTTAAGTCATGCGGTTCACCCAGCTGGGAACCCAGTTTCCTCGTGACCCTCCACTCCTCGGCAACATGGTCCAGGGTTCACCCAGCTGGGAACCCAGTTTCCTCGTGACCCTCCACTCCTCGGCAACATGGTCCAGGGTTCACCCAGCTGGGAACCCAGTTTCCTTGGCAACATGGTCCAGGGTTCACCCAGCTGGGAACCCAGTTTCCTCGTGACCCTCCACTCCTCGGCAACATGGTCCAGGGTTCACCAAGCTGGGAACCCAGTTTCCTCGTGACCCTCCACTCCACGGCAACACGGTCCAGCCATAGCTCAATATGTGTAAGCTCTGTCTTTGTCTCATTGACAATCAAATCCCCGGTGAATAGTGTGTTAGCTATGCTGGGAATCATTGACTGCAGCCATTGACCATCGGTAGTTGCAAAGTCAACATCACCTGCGTATGCTGTGTCTGCTAGGAGGCAGAGCTGGATGTCAGTCGTTGACCTAGGCTGCAGTAGTTCCGCATCTCTCATAGAGCGGCCTCAAGATAGATGATAAACAGAACTGGGGATAATGAGTCACTCTGCGGGTGCCATGGATAGTTGCAAAATCTGGGCCAGTAACCATTGGCAGGACAACACTTAGCATTGTGGCATGGAAAACATAGGCAGTCATTCTCACTTCATCTCCTAACAGGGAAGATTGAGGAACATCGAGCAGCTTTGTTCGCGAGATAGACTCAGACACTTTTCTCATGTCTATGGCAATATGTCCACTGAGAAACGTAACCATTGACATCTCACTGTGAACCACTTATAGAACCAAATGACATTGGCAGTGTAGCGTGCAGGGCAGAATCCACTCTGGGTATTCGATAGAAACTTATTCACAAGCTGGCTGAATACTCTGCCATTGCATGAGCATGGTTATAGCCTGTACAAGGGTGAGTTCAGGGATGCAGTTGTGTTGACAATTGGCTGATGTCCCATCAAGGTGTGTTTGTGGAGCTGATTTCACTGCAGCCCAAGCGATGTGCTGTGCAACCGGAGGCTTTTCAACAGTGCGGCACAATGAAGTGTGGTACTTGATTGCTGACCTGATAATGGAGGTGTGCCCTGATGTCGCAGTTGAGCCTTTGCTGGCTGCGATCGATGGGGAGGTATTCACAGCAGCCGGGCACAGGAAACCGTCCTAGACGTTCCAGTCCTTCACCTGGATGAGGCGTCTTATGCCAAGAAGCCCACCACTGATTTGTTACTCCAGCATGACAAGCAGAAGAAACTGCAGTACAACGAGCGGATTGTATATGTCGACCATAGAAACTGGATTGTACATGTCGACCTTAGAAACTGGATTGCATATGTCGGCCGTAGAAACTTCACTCCACTTGTTTTATACCTTGGCTGGCAGTGTGTCCTCAGACTGTGTGCGGTTCCTTTTAAAAGCGACCATGTGGAATGTTGGCGCAGCAAGACTTTCTGCCTTTTGGTCACGTGATTTAAGTCGTTACTTTAAGGCCATCATTTTTATATTAATTAACGTTGTCCGCGCACGGTTATATTTTGATTTTTTCGGAAAAAAATCTAACTTGCATATGTAGAGTGAGTGTACGATTGTGCGAGTCTTCATGTGCGTACAGTGTCTAGTCGATCGTATACGCGTAGTCCATCTGGTCGGACGTGAAACAGAGCCGCCTTCATCCACGCGATGTATGCGAAGATGCTGAGCACTGGTACTACAGTACGCCGTACGAAGCGTGGCGAAGACTGAAGTAGCAGTAGGAAGGCGCTCTTTGTTGCCAACTCCGGTGCGATGTCTTTCTTTTTGTAGTCTGATCTTCTCGAACTAAGTTAGTTTGATCCTCCATGCACGAGCTATTGTGCTATATACAGTGCAATACACCTCTGATGAGCCTTTTTATTTTATTATTTTTCCACCTCTTGCATATGATCCTGGAAGTTAAACTGATGCAAAACATAGATGTTAAAATACTGGCCTACCAGACTGTATTCACTGGTTTGAGGGAAAGACGCAAACAGGGAAAAGTCTGAAGAGAGAATTGACTGTCACCACCAGGCCACGAACCAGGGGCCGTCGCTTGAGGCCAGCGATGCTCTAACCACTGAGCTATGGTGTAGTCTGACTGTGTTCTTACTATTAAATCTAGAAGCCCTTCACGTGCCCCGGTTCACTATTCTTGGATATTATTATTTCTACTAACCCTTGATCTGGTTCACTACTACAGGCTTGGTTATCATTAGATCATTAGAGAGGTTGCGAACAACGAAAATTCGTAGCACAGTAACGAAAAATTTAACGAAAAAACTTTACGAAAATTCGTAAACCGTGAGGTTGCGCACAATAGACATGGTGAGCATTTTACAGGTCACGCTAAATCCAACGGTACTCGTACCCAACACCCAAAATACCGTCGGTTTGGTACCGTTTCGACGATAGAAAGCTCTAGCTCTGTGTAGCGGGAGAACGAAACGGTAAGATTCCAACTAGGGTTACGTCACAAGTCGATCGTACACAACGCGTTGTGTCAGAAACCGAAATGCTAACCAGTGTCTTGAAAACACAAACAAAACTGTGCAGGCCGACGTACCGTCGAAGTTAGCGTGAACGGTAAAATATTTACCATGTCTAATGTGCCATTTTGTCACACTTGCTGACTGTATAAGATCTGGTTACGTTGGTGGACTGTTTGTCATAACTCGTAACATTTTGTCCTTTACCTTTCTTTATCCATGTCTAATGTGTGAACTTTTTTCGTAGTACTTGGTCCGTTTCATCGCAATTGTCGCTTATCTATCGCAACTAAGAACAGGAGTTTTTTTACCGCTCTGTAAAATTTCCAATACGCATAGTGAAGAAGCATGATACAGGATTTCTGTCCGCCACAAGAAATAAATTCAGCGATAGAATCTGATGAAGCAAGTCGAAGAAAGGAAGCAAGGTTACAAAAAATGTACAAAAGAAAACAGCGACGGAGCGCCTTCTTGCACTAACGCTTTAGTTTATCCGACTCTGGCTCTGTATCACTCGAGCTGATGCCACTTGAGCTGACATTCACTGGTGTGTATAGCTGCTGGCGTAGAGTATCGTATCTCTTTCTTTCTCCGCTTGGCGTATAGCAGCGATGGGAAAGGAACAGTCGCGGCTGTCACTTTGGCACTTGGAGGAACGTGGGCAGCGTGACCCGTCTGTCACTACAGTACTGTGTGTTCAACAATGTTTTTGAATCAGGCACACATCCCTCACCAGGCAGCTGTCATACGCTCTGCTGGATACGCTGACCACGACTCTTGTACTGCCGCTGCCAGGTCGGACAATGTCTTCTTTGCCACCATCTCGCCATCAGTTTGCAGGCTTGCAAAGAATACCAGGTCATTGCAGTTCAAACATTGCAGTTCAAACAACTCAGCTGGCTGGCCTGGCCGTGACTGTCACGCTCTCCAGGTCAGGATGTTGATTTCCCCTGCTACAGTTCCGGTCTTTGAGCTGCGCTTGGCTTTTCGCTGCAGTGAATGTGTGCATTCACTGCAGTGCATTCACTGCAGCGAAAAATTTCCCACTTTCCCATCAAAATTGTATGAATCGCGATGCCACTGGCGCTAGTCGCGATGGTTTTTTCTTTCTGGTCTCCTTTGAACTTGCCATCACAACCTCCCAAACGAATGTGAGTTAGATATCGAGATCGGACTGGGTTTTACCTGTCAAAAGGTGCGTGGGAGATAAGCGACAATTGCGATGAAACGGACCAAGTAGGTCGACGCTAGCGCGGCAAGTGCGGAAAGAGTCAAGACAGGGAGTTGTAAAATATCAGTATTTTAGTACTCCATGTGATGAAAAATAGTTCTGTAGATCTGCTCTGTCTCGGTCTCTTTTGGACGAATCATCGTAGCAACGTCCGTTACTCGAACCCGGACGGTCAGGATCTTATGAATTTTCGTTGTGCGCAACCTCTCTTTTACGTTTAGTTAATACCCCTTTGATCCGAGTCACCATTAGAGGTGATTATTCTTATTTCTAATAAACTTTGATCAGGGTCACTATTAGAGCATATTCATTACGATATTGTATTCCGACATGGTGTGTATTCTGACATGGTGTGTTTGGTGGGTATGTTTGTTTTTATGTGCCTTACAGTGATGGCACCGGTGAATGTTGAGAGGGTCTGTCGGTACGCTAGGCAGGATAGAGTGAAGGATCTAAAAGCCGAGATACTTGAAGGTGGTGTTCTCAAAGAAGAAGTCAAACTTCAAAAGGATGCCAGTGGTGGTCCATTGTTGGTATGCAGAACTTTAGAATTGTGCTACAATCTGTCTGCATTGGCAAGTGTTGTCGCATGAGTGTCAGGCTGAGCGTGTATGTGTGTGTGTGTGTGTGTGTGTGTGTGTGTGTGTGTGTGTGTGTGTGTGTGTGTGTGAGAGAGAGAGAGAGAGAGTGTGTGTGTGTGGTGGGGGGGGGGGGGTATGTGTGTGTGTGTGTGTGTGTGTGTGTCCATTGTACTGGTGGGGGATGGCTTGCCTTTTTCGAGCTCCTGTTTTTGTCTGTCCAAGACTTTTCAGTAAGCTCTCTCCCGGCCAAAGCAAAGTGATTTCGACAAGGGGACTGACACAGCTAAAGGACATGGCGGCGTTTGATGCTGTCACCTTTGACTGCGCCCCTCATCACCACTCGCGGAGGTTTGACAAGCCCCAAGTGGATTCCACCGAGCGCCGTGAAATTTCTTGAAGAGAGGAAAGAGAGAGAAGGGGACGCCACCTGTTGCATTTTGGATGCAGGACCGTCAGAGACCTGGTGGAGGGAGACGGAGCCATTGAGACGGCAAGCGTTTCTGGCCGAGTAGTTGAAAACAAAGAAAAATGATCTTGCTGTGCCGGAACTACAGAGGTATGACATCGCCGCAGCAGGAGACCACTGGTTTGGACAGGAAAGCTACGTCGTGGACGGTTTCTCTATTCTCAGCTCTGGCCATAGTCACAATTGCCGCGGTTGGATCGTTGTGCTTTGGGCGCCTGGAGGGCTGGTGGCTGCGGCTGGCAGGCGGTGAGTTCTCTCGTTGTATCTGTCCGCTTGCAGTTCGCTCTCGTTGATAGGTCAGCTAAGAGTTCCACTCTGATCTGTGCCTACGCTCCGACTTACGCAGCTAATCGCACTGTGAAAAAAAATTATTTGATGATCTCCAAAGTGTTTTGTACGGCGTTCCACCATCTGACTGTTGTATCGGGCTCTACGACAGGTCACAGCGAGACAGCTCACAGCGCGACAACTCACAGCGACACAACTCACAGTGTCGTCAACTCACAGTCAAGACAACTCACAACCAAAACAACTCACAGCTCGACAACTCACAGTGTGGACAACTCACAGCGAGGCAACTCACAGCGTCCATATTTATGTAATGGTACAATGAAGACCTAAAGTCTATGGGGGTTGGTCCTAGTAAAAACCTACAATGTATATGATTATAATAACGCGACGTTCCCGGCACTTCTCTATTTACATGTAATGCAAAGAAGAAAATAACAGAGAACTTTATTCAAGAAGGAAGACAAAGCCTGAACAAGAAGAAGACAGTAATGAAAATAAATTTAAAATAATAAAAGATAAAATAAGCATGTCAAGCATGTCGAGGTTCTCCTGCGTACCACTACTGAGAACACAATAATTCTGTGATTCCACAGTTTCCGGTCCACTGTTGTAGAGAAGGAAGACGTCCCCACCCTTCGTTTCTTGATAGCGCTCCGGCAGCTGGAGGTCTTGAAGTGTGCCTGGGTTCGGTAGAACGTTCTGAACTCGAAGGCAATCTCGTTGTGATTGCCGCTTTTAAAAGTGACTTGGAGTCTGGCAGCTGGACTGCCACTGCAAACGTAGCTTCCGCTAGTGCGCCGTTTACAATTTGAGACGTTGACTCCACTGTCTCTTGGCTATGTACAGTAATGCCATCTCTCACAGCAGCCACCTCCTGCCTCTCAGCCTCTGCGGGATGGTTGTGGTCACCGACCAAGGCCACTATTCTCCTCTCCGACATTTTCGCTCTCCCTTTGCAATGCAGCTCGTCCTTCCGCTCACACCTCCAGTAACTGATGTCTCTGGGCCCGTCTTTATCTTTCACGTAGGCATATCCACGAAAGACTACTTTCTCTCATCCTCGCTGCGTTTTCGTAACGTAATCTGGTAAAGAATCCATGGTGTAGTGATCCCACCAGGACACTCAGAGTCGTATCCATAACCAAAAACGATTTTTTTCTATTCAACTGTGAGCTTTTATAGCCAGAGCATGTTCCAGAAGTGGCATCAGGGTGATATCAGAAGCAGCCAGTCAATGATAAGTAACCACATTGCTAAGCTGGTGTGGCTGTGAATTGTCGCGCTGTGAGTTGGTGTGGCTGTGAGTTGTCTTGGCTGTGACTTGTCTCGCTGTGAGTTGTCTTGGCTGTGAGTTGACGACACTGTGAGCTGTTGGCTGTGAGTTGTCGCGCGGTGAGCTGTCTCGCGGTGACCTGTCGTGTTCCCTCGCACTGGGCAATTTCAACGCACGCGTCGATTCAGGACAATGGGGCGGTGAGAGGCCCGATGTGCGAGTCACTCACGGGTGTAACAACATGAATACATCAGGAGCTGAGCTACTGTCATTTGCTGCTTTCAATCAATTGTGTATATGCAACACCTGGTTCCCAAAACGAAACATTTTCAAACAGACCTGGCAGCACCCAGGCACGCTGCAGTGGCACTGCATAGGTTTCATACTTGTGCGGCAGGACGACCGCCATCTAGGTACATATGTGGCTGTCATGAGGAGTGCTGCATGCGGCAGCGACCACCAACTGCTATATACGGCTCTGCAGCTGCAGTCGTCAGTGCGGCGCGGGGCGCAGAGCAAAGGTAGTGTCCAGCGCCGGTTTGATGTTGCACAGCTAAATTAAAGATCACGGCACGTATTCCCCTGAAGATCCTACGCCTACCGATATAATACCCCGGCGGAATGACTGTGCTGTTAAAGGGGAAGCTAAGCCTAAGATCAAATTTTCACCAGTTGTAGTCTTCGGGATGCTGAGTCGAATGGTCTTGGTCCGAGGAAGCTGAGACGCTCCCTTCTTCCCTTATTCCCAATCGAACACGCGCACTTCCACCGAAACTGGGTGACTGCGCCCTACTGATACGTCGGCAGTACGATTATTTAAGGTGGCAGACTACCCAAAAATTCGCTGAAAAATCGAATTTGTAAATTCATATTGAGTGCTACGTCAGTTGAAAGAGCATGAATAGCTGCAAATTCTCTGAAAATTGTGTCCCTATCTGACCAGCCGTTCAAGAGTTATGGCCGAAAATGTGCCCTTGCAAGGACAGATTTTTTTGTTGCATGCTGTCATTTGTTGGCAGCACTGTATTTGAATGTGAGCAGACCGTGCGCAACTTGTCGTATTATGGAAACACGCGAAAGTGTGCAGAATTTTGCCCCAAGTCCAAAAAAGTCCAAAAAATCACGTTAAAAAACCACGTATTGGGCTGCACGGCGGCGGGCGAAGCCCGCCGCCGTGCAGCAGGACTTTTGCCAGCACCCTCGTGACGTTGCAGATATGTGGCTTGATTATTGTAGTTGACGTTGATTTAGTGACTTTGGCAAGTTTGAGTCGTGTCAAGAAGTCAGGTAGGATTCAGTACTAGGCAGTAGTGAAACGTGAGTGGCAGTCTTTGCCGGTTTCTGAGGGCATCCTGGATTTGGTGTGCAGCGCTGTGGAAATGGCTTGCTGTGGAGGTCCCAGCACTGGATGTTGTATCAAAGGTACGACCTCGTAGCACACCCTAAACCTAAAAAATTCAAAAATTGACTTGGGTCTATGGGAGTCCGCGAGAGAACGCCCACTCGTTCCGTTGTGACAGATTCCAGGGCCACGTTGAGGGGCCCTACCCCACCACCCATGGCTGCTTCTGGACTTGTTTTAGGTTTGGGTCCCGCGCACGGACAGAATGGGCACGAAAATGTGAAAAAATGTAAATGCATTTGTTTGACTCCTGGGTGGCTCGCACACCGTGGCACTATGCCGGAAATTTGAGTTTTTCCGGCCTGGAAAGCCTGTCAGTGAGGCGCAAGAACTTGTAAATCATGTCCTGAGGGCCAGCATAGTGGCAGGAGTGTGTGGTCAAAATTTCACTCAAATCCACTGAGAAACACCAAAGTTACGGTCAATTGAATGCCATATGAAATTTATGGGTAGGCTGCCCCCTTAAAGGGGAAGTTAAGGCAAAAATTAAAATTTCACCAGTTGTAGTCTTCGGGGTGCTGAGTCGAATGGTCTTGGTCCGAGAAAGCTGAGACGCTCCCTTCCTACTTGAATCCCAATCGAACTCGCGCACTTCCACCGAAACTGGGTGACTGCGCCCTACTACATGGGGATTTGTATGCAAAATGTCACTAAAAGCGCCGTTTCGTTCTTATAAAAGCACGGATGACCGCGATTGGCCCATATGTTGTAGTCTTTTGGACGCTGAGTCGACTGGTTTTGGTCCGAAAAGGCTGCGATGCAGCGTTCCTCCTTTATTCCCAATCGAACATGGTTGAACAAGTGGTCACGTGCTCCTGGGTGCCCAAATCACCTGGTCACCACGCCAGCAGGCGTCAACTTTCACACCAAGGTTCAACTCGAGTGACAGGACTGCACCCAAAAAAGGTCAAACAGGCTAGTAAGTTGTACCCTGCAGGCACGGTGACCAGCTGACTGGTGTACGCAGGAGCACGTGACCACTTGTTCAACCATGTTCGATTGGGAATAAAGGAGGAACGCTGCATCGCAGCCTTTTCGGACCAAAACCAGTCGACTCAGCGTACAAAAGACTACAACATATGGGCCAATCGCGGTCATCCGTGCTTTTATAAGAACGAAACGGCGCTTTTAGTGACATTTTGCATACAAATCCCCATCTAGTAGGGCGCAGTCACCCAGTTTCGGTGGAAGTGCGCGAGTTCGATTGGGATTCAAGTAGGAAGGGAGCGTCTCAGCTTTCTCGGACCAAGACCATTCGACTCAGCACCCCGAAGACTACAACTGGGGAAATTTTAATTTTTGCCTTAACTTCCCCTTTAATCAGAAGTAGGTGATCAACTGAACAGGCAGTGAACCCAAAGTAAACTTATAACTACAATTGATGGTGTGAGAGTGTGCAAGTGATAATGGTGTGAAGCATGCCAGAGTTATAATGCAAGTAACATCAATGCACACTGTTGCTGATAGTGCTGCCACTTCACAGTGGCATACATGTGCATGCAGTCATACACAACTGCTAA